GAGAGAGAGAGAGAGAGAGCAAGCAAGGAGTAGGTGGAAGGGTCTGTAAACTCAGCGGAGTAGCAGCAAAGTCCCCGAGGTAGCCTCCACTTCCAGTATTTACTACGTCCGAGGAAAAAGCAACGGTGGTGCGGAAGATCGTGGCCGCTCCTTTAGAAGGCACAGCCTTCCTTCAGCCTACCCCTCTATATTTTCCCACGTCCTCCTTTGTCGGCGGCGAGGCGGGCCAACTCGGCAATTCGAGCTCTGTCTGTGTTCCTGAATTAAATACCCCATGAGGGACATATGTTTACGAGACTCCTTTTCCTCTTTTGCCGAGTTACTTCTAGATCAGTGCTGTTCACGGCGGTGCTACCATGCTCGACTCCCCAGAGTTGGATCCCTTTCTTGGAGAAGAAATATAATTGCATTGACATCGGCTGTTCGTCGATTCTTACAATATGTTTGTGAACTTATTTTCTGATTTTTTTTTTCTTCTGTGTAATTTAACACAGTTAAAGATTTCATCAATGAGAGTACTTGCGATACATTTTGAAATTTCTCAAAATCTCTGCACGATTATAAGTTAAATCTGCTTCGATGTGAAAACTAGTATCGTTTGACGATACGTCAGATACTAAAGAGTTGACAAAAGTGAAAGAAAATCTCTTTCCACAGAAGAAATTTTTCCTTCGTCAAAAAACATTTAGGACGCAGTTTAAACCTTGGAATTGTACTTATTCACCTGACGAGATCTAGTGGAAAGATGCACAGTGCTCTAAGGACTAGAAGTCAATGGATCGTCCCATGGGGACTAACCGCAGGCGCGTCCAATGTACAAGACGACCCGCAGTCGAGTATTCGTCGTGTTGGATACCGATCGAGTGTGGCTGTGAATGAGTATCAAGTGCCTTTGGTTAACCCTATGGTCAAGGCGTTTCTGCAGAGCGCCAAATACGACGCTTTTGAGACCACGAGACCATCCCAGAACAGACTTACAAAAATGATTCGAAAGATATTGAGGAATAATCGATAATTTAATCCGCGATATACGTGAAATGGGACACGGTATACTTTCTCTTGAAAGCTTTGATAGATGATGAACCAATAAACTTGCAAAGTTCCAATTAAAAAAAAAAAAAAAAGGAAAAATGAAATTCGTCAAGATATGATAGAACATATTAAACAGTTTTTCTCTACCACTTTTTTAAATTTCATTTAAATATATATTGAAGCTATATTATTGTATATAATATAACATATAAAAAAAACTCAATCTATTTTAGTCCTCTTCAACGCTTATTTCGATTCCATCAAACCAGAATAAAATGTTTTATGTCGAATCCAATTTAAATAGTAAGTGATCCATGATTTAGATATTAAATGGAATAGTATTTTCAAATAGTATTTGCCAATGGAAATAGTCCAATATTCTAGTATTTGTTTCAAATTTTTTTCAACTCTGTTAATAAGCGAGATAAAAATATTCGAAACTGGTACGTGTTATTTTTAATTCTATGGAATATAGGATATAATTGAAAGTAAAATTAATAGAATTAAAGACCAAAATTTATTGGAAATGAAAACAAAATTTATAGAAACGGTTGTATTTCATTATCCCTGGGAGTAAATTACCGATTACCAACGTTGAACAACGATGAAAGAGTTCGAAATGATAAGTTTTATCTTCTTCATCTCTCAACATATTCAAATATTAACATTATATTTACGATTCACTTGCTGTTTAATTTTAAATATATATATTTCAGATAGATTTAACTAAAATAAATAAAATACTTTTTTTTCTCTCGATGAATAGAATATCAATAACTTTTCATCTCTTTCTCTTTTAATAAAATTTTATTTCATTATGAGGCTTATACCGATACGAGTCATTATACGTACCAGTGTTATAAATATAAATTGCACTTAAAAGAAATATTAATTTTTGAATTTGTAGAAAAGAAATGATTATCCATTTACGCGGGTTTAACATAAACTTCGTTTTAATTTCTTTTATTAAGAAGGTTCGATATTCTTAACCTTTTTTTTTCATTGGAAACGATAAAAAATGAAAATAATGTATAATAATGAAATGGGAAAATTGTATTGGACGGTCGAATAAATTTCAATTAATCTGCAGCTTTAATTTTAAAATATCACGAATAACCATCATACTCATTATTTAATTTGCAACTCTAATTTTAACCAGTTAACTGGACTATTCTTTAACCAGAATCATGGAATCATGGAAAAGTTAATTTAAATAAATCAATTTTAGTTACACTGCATAAATAAGGGCAAAACGGATTGGGCGAGCAAACCAGAAAATCCAGCTTTAACCCGAAATTAGAGGATAAGAGCTGGGAATGAGTTTGCAATGATGGTCCTAAATTTAGTAGGATCTAAATAAGTCTAAAGAAGTATAAAATCTCAAGTCTACAATCATAGCAGTTTGGGATTGACCATAGATCATGGTATAATTTGATCGAGCATTGGATAAATTCCACGTAATCTCGATATTTTGTCGAAACCAATTTTTTAAATTTGGATTTAAACAAATTTAAAAAGTAAATATCATTTTTTTATATCATTTTTCTTTACACAAAATGTAGCAAATAAGAAGGGCAAATTAGACGAGTAGCAATAATTGCATTGTAAATTATTATTTCTGAAAATGTTAATGGAAACCATCAAGATTTATATTGATTAGCACAAATGGATTTTTCAGTAAATAATGCTTCTTTCCATAAATGGACAGTATGATGCATTCTATAATATCGTAAGTGATCACGGTTAATCATAATATTAATTGAAAATAATGCTCGTTCTGTACACGTGAAAAAAGCAATTCGATAATTCATTCAATATTATTTACAATAAATGCGCGACGCATTATCATTTCTCTGATATTAATATTAAAAGATAAAAAATCGCGAGAAAATATGCTGCATGACATTTATCTTGCAAAGTATTAACATTAAAATTCTAAAAGCAAAATCGCATGCAACCACGCTCAGTTTGTTTCGCAACAATACCAGTGGAAAGAAAATTCACGGGAAAGAAAATTTATTTTAGAATTCTACCTATGAAAAGAAAAATCGCTCGTGCTATCAATGATAAAATAACGTTTGCGTTAGATGTTATTATAAATTTATTCGAACAATGGTGAAAACGCGGTAGACATAAATGCACGAATAAATGCATAACGTTTTTTAGTTCACTCGAGAATGCGCGAGAGAAATAACTTCGACACAAAAAACTGTTAATTCGTATTAATTGAAAAATCTGGGTTGACTGAAGATCGCGCTTGGATCGAGGAAAAGTAATGCAAATGAATATCTTTCAACCCAGAGACCGCTGCAAGTTTCTCAATTGAGATTCGAGCTTTAGGATCACGGGTACGCGAACCGGATGAAATGTTATCCTGTCGATCCATGATGCCTTTCACCGAGAGAAGAGAGATCATAGTTAGATCATTATCGTCATTACTGCGGAAATCGAGGAATCTGGCCTAGATGAGGACCAAATTGGCCCTGCACGTAATCCAGATTAGTGATGGCGCTGTTAAAATTTTTTAAAATGATCGTGAAAACTGTTAGAGATTTTTATATATTGTCTTGAACAGTTATGTTCCCCATCTTAAAATTAGAATAGATACTTTCTTTCCAGAAGACGGTTATAATTAGTTCGTGGAAATAAGAAATGTATTTTTATTCGTAATATTTTTTTCTTTTTTAAAGATAAATTGTTTTAGTTTTATCTGGATCGATAGAAAAATTTTCATTCATTGAAAATGAATTAGAATATGAGAAAGAATATGTTTGGATTTTATTCAGATAATATTACATTTAATGGATTATAAAATATCATTTAAAAAGGAATAGAAGTAAATACAGACTTGAGATGCTCCTGTTTAAACGAGGTAGAACGAAGACCTATTTCCGTTCGTGTTAACGAACTGAAAGCTATCGGATAGGTAAGAGAATACCAGGGCTATATCGATGCCAATTATAATCAGCTTGAACACCAAGATTTCATACCGTATCGAATGCCTTATGTTCAAAAATATTAATGCGATCGATTTAATTCATGAATTATGAATTGTGTAATTCTCATATTTATTTGTATAGTTGAGTGCTGTTTTCGAAAACCGAATTGTTCGATTAAAATTTATTATTAGAAAATCACGATTAAAATTATAATTAGCAGTAATGATTAACGTGCTACATTTATTCGGTGAAATAAAATAAAATAATAAAAAAAGATAAATTGAAAGAGTAAAGGGTTGACGAGTATTTATTTTACAATTACAATTATAAGAAATTAAAATGCAGATCAACGATAAAATATTGAATTTTTGATTTTGTTATCAAATTTTCTATTTTTCATTATTTTTATTTTAAAATTTGCTATTCGCGAATCTGTTTCCTTTTGTTTAATCGCATTGTGATTTTATTAATTTAGACTTATTAAAAATTGATGGAATTATTTTTGTTACGTTTTACACAGCTTTGTCAAATTCTATACATTTATACACGCTCGTGGAATAGTTGTATATAGTCGTGCGATTCAAAATATCGGTTTTATTTCGTTACATTGTACAAATAAAATTATGCTCCCTATTCTCTTTATAATAGTATTCTGGTATTTCCTGCGATTCAACAATTCTTCTTAACGCAGTTTTTAAAACAATTGAAAAACGTAATATAATAGCTTTTAAAACAATTTTCATTAATTCGAAACCGGTGTGTTCTCTTGCTTTTCGTTCTCGTCAATTTTTCACGAGTAGAATGTTAACCGTGAAAAATAATTTCTCGCGCTTCCATCGCGGCGCGTTACGTGCATAATTAAAGTTGGAGAAGATGAGGAAAAATTGTGCATCGCGAGATTTCGAAAGAGCGAAAGGGCACGTTCCACAGGAGGAATTCCTTGGAACGTGGTCGTAACGAAGACCCTTGAACATTCCAGGAGGCCAGGAGGAGTCAGACAAACGAGGAACGACGAAAGAGGTTACAAAATGCACGCAGCACAGAATATACCGAACTATATCAAACAGCGCGACGGTTAATATTGGATTCTGTTGGAACGAGAACGAACGCAAGGGTCGAACGTGTTTCTCGTTAAGTGAAGCAATTACCCAGACCTATCTGTTACTTATAACAACGTCAGCAACCACCACGGCCTTTTGGTTTTGAAGACTGCCTCAGCTTTACGTCACAACCCGCACGGTTCGGCATTTTTCATCCTATGAATTTCCTCCTTTTCTCCTCCCCGTTCCCTTTGTTTTTTCTCTTCTTTCCTTCTTTTTTTCACTTTTCTTTATCCTCCCCCTCCTTCAACTTCCATCAGCTGTATCTCGCGTCACAGCGATATTAATTTCACTTTCGTAGCTACGAAGTCTTCCTTCTGATGATAAATATTCGTTTCAACAATGGAAAAGCATTAGCATTCGCCATTTCTATCATTTCGTGTTAGACAAATAAATGGATCCCCCTGAAGATCCGAATGAAATACCAGGGGAAGAAAAAAAGAAAGAAAATTTCTCGAGCGGAAAAGTGGGACGATATCTGTCAAGCTGGATTCAATTATTATATTTATTCAACGCCAATCCCCCACTTGGCTTTATCTGAAAATTATCGTTGCAGAAGGAAGAAATTGGTTCGCAGTTGCCAATTTTTAACTCGTGTATCAATTTTACTTTACGCGACGCTGCACTCGATGCATCGATAAACTTGTAAATAATTAACGAACGCCACTCCTTCCCATCGTTAACATCCATCCTGTTATTGGTTGTTCTATTAGGCGTCATTCCCGCGGATCGCGTCCTTCCATACGAAATTCGTTATATACGAAAATACTTGGACACCGTCTCGCAGAGAAATTCGCACGATCCCAAAAATTCTTGATTCGAGAGTTTGAAGAACGAAAGTTTGTGTGGAATATAGTGCATTATAAATACAAACAGCAATTTTTTTTTTCCTCGACGAGAAATCTCTTTGAGGGAATCAACCTCTTTTGTATAAAAGCATCGAAACTTTTGTACGTTGATTTAGACAGAAATTAAAAAAAATATTCCGATCTCGATGGAAATATTCGTGGATTTGTTGATCCGCGCTGATTCGTGGAAAACAAATTTACAGAGAAAATCGCAAATTTTGCGTCGAGTTCCATCGAAACTCGAGAATACACAAGACGCGTGTAACTTCGGGTGCATTTCAAGTACAAAGGATTAAAATAATTATTTTCTATCGTATTTTAATTCGCTTCATGCATAATTAATCGAATAATTACGAATTACGGATAGGATTGAATGAAAGTCGGTCGACGAAACTGTTAAAATTTTCAGTAGGCGCGTGAGAGGAAGGTCTGAAATTAGCGTAGGATTTTAGTCAGGTTTTGGAGTGGTTCGTATTCTACGTGAAAACTACAATGCACAGTTATGCCTCGAGTTCACCGACGTGCGCTTTGAATCTTAATTCGCTTTATTATCTTTAACTTGGTCCACTAAGATTGGCAGACCAGTCTCGTGAATCATCGTAAACCGGCCATTTCATTTTCCTTTTAAACCTTTACAATAATTGTAAACATTTCGTTTGTTTTTTACGATTTTTACGAAATTTACGAAATATTTGATAACAATTTTTTTCGACAACGTTTCGTGGAACAGCATAGAAAGTAGGAGGGATCGTTACTTTAAAATTAGAAGCCTCTCTAGACGAAGAAGAAACTTTCCCCGATCACACCCGTTGATTGTTCTTCTTATAAAAGTGAAACAATCGAGGCTGCAGTTTACGAGGTGATATAAAAATAATGGGTTAAACAGGAGTGACAACGTATAATAGAGTACTTGACATTCTTTTGTCTCGTTGGAACGACCTATCTTCCTTAGATCATATCAGCTAATTACTCGACAGTATAATTATTGACCGAGTCGGAAATGGCATGGAGGGTTGCTCGATGGCCGTTCAAACGGTCGAAATTTTCTACACCCTTGCAGCTCTGAAGGGGTCGACCTCGATGAACGAACGGTTGCGAAATAACTTTGTACAATTTTTCGTATCCGATAGGAGATAGATTATTGCCGAGTATTCATTCAAGGGCAACATTTTTCTTTTCTTTTTCTTTTTTTTTTTTTTTAAGTTAAGGATATGAATTCTTGAGTATTCGAGACACGCACAACCTATATCAACTCTTTGGAAGCGTTTTAACTTTTTGATCGAAGATAGAATTTAGAATAACGATTGTGTGTTTAATACAATAAACGTGAAATATATATTCACGTTATATATATATATTAAAAAAAAGGAAAAAATGAAGATGAATTTATCGCTTACCATGAATTATATATAACCGTCTAATTTTCTTATTTTTTCTAATTCTAATACACGACGTCGTCGTTACATAAAATTTTACCTCTTTCGAATAGTCTGTTATGCTTATATTTAACCGCATGATATTCTTGAGATTCTCTTGATCGCGGGTATGAAATTTCTATGAAAATAAAAAAGGATTGGAAGTGGGGATGTGCTCGTCCATGGCCATCGTATCGACATTAATGCATTGAAATAATGAAAATGTGTTAAACGAAGAAGCTCGAAATGGCTTCTCTGTTTTTGCTCATCGAATGAAAATTCGTTGGGAAAGAAACACAGGTAAAGCGGTTCCCACGAAAAGAGTAAGAGATCGATAATGAGCGGGGTTCTGGAAGCCATTGGAAGCGTTAAATTGATTTAAATCGCGTGCGCGTGGTTGAAACGAGCGAGATTTTAAATTGCCAACATCCGAGATATTTGTGATTTCCCATTGAAATTTCCAACGAAATTGTTACACGAAACCGCGAGCATTATTCCTCCGGTATAAATTAGATACCGTATTATAGAGTCCCGTAAGAGAAAGAATGGAATATTCGCCTCGTCGAATTTAGCCTAGAATGTTGGCCTAGCGAAGCCACGTCTATAATTATGATCTCATTAAATCGTACGCAAGAACACTTGCGTAACTTGCTGTCTAACCTCGTTTCGTATTAGAACACACGCATCGCAGAGCCTTTGAGAATTTCCAGACAAGCCACTCGTGTTGGATAGGAACGTTAGATGGATCTAATAATTAGTAGTAGATATCTTCTTTAATAGAGATTGGATCGAGGTTATGGCAAATTGCTTTCGGTTTAAGTCTTTTTCGAATCCTTTTCCTTTTTTCTTTTTTTATCGATTTTATCCTTTCAAAATGATGGAATGGAAGAATAAAAAAAAAAAGGAGAGGAATTTCTTGAAAAATTTCTTAAAAAATTCGAGACCCATTCGAACAGGTAGATTTGTTCGATCTCTTTTGTTCTCGCTTCTCTCGATCGAATTAACGTTGATCACGTTACATCGACAATGGCACTCGGTTTCTCATCTAATTCATCCTTGTGCGCGGGATTCACTTTCGAGATTTAATTGCAGTTGGAGTATATGAAGCCGCGTTCATTACAAGCCTTCGTATATACATATGTACACGTCCTCTCCTCTGGTCTTGAATTGAATGCAACGCGTGGTGCAACGGCGGTGTTAGAGTACAGATACCGAGTAGTCCGAGGCAACGTTGTCGAGACACGGCGGTAGACACGTACAAACGTCGCTTGCTTTTCCGTTCCTCCGCGTGTCGCGTCGCGTGCTTACGCACGAGGAGGGGGGAGGGGAGGGGAGAGGCAAGGATTACGTGTCACAAATTGGCATTACCCGCTGCGAACGTAGACACAGAGCCAGGTGTGCGCGCGGTATTTCCAGAGAAGTGTCTCCAAGTGCTTCCAGCATACCTGATGCGATTGTGCGCGTTAAGGTTTGAACCAAGCGGTTCTGTGACAGGCAATTTGCTTCCGAAGGAAATAATTACGAGCGGTTTAGGGGCTTGTCGGCTCGAACTTTGGGTTTTACTACTTACCAAATACCGGAACACCCCGACTTTCCATCATTCGTCCCACCGCTACGTTTTCACGTTTTCATTCGGGAAAATCACGAATTTCTCGACGATTGTTAGATATTATTGTTTATCGATGTCGCGACGTGCCCTCGATGTTAAGATTCCTACGATTTCTTTAATTTTTAACAGGTATTTTTAAATGTATATTTGTACGAATTTGTTTTTAATAAATTTGAAGTTGTGTTTCAGAATCGAGACAGATGTGCGAAACTTGCATGCCAACGTGTTCCAATCGAAATCTTTTCTATCGTTTATTATTGTTACGTGTGGAAATTGGAAAAAACGTACGATAAATTATTTGATATACAAACGTTATTTGGATATTCAAATATTATTTATTACGCATTAATTATAACGCGAAATAAAATATGAACACGTTGAATACATGCATCGAAAGGTATACGGGATATAATACGAAATGTGAATTATTTAATCGTGTATTTTGGATACGCGTGAAACGGGGATCTCTAATCGAGAAACGCGGGTGAATCTCTAAAACGGATCATCGTTAGCCGAACGATATTAATTTTGTAAGATGGCACTTATGCAAGGATGTATGACGTCGGGAAAGATCAATCATTTTGAAGGTTTCTCTCCGTAGTTAACGCATTATTCCAGATGAATAGATAATGCTACTTTAAGTACTTGCAACGCCAGTTAAAACGGCGTAATACATTTTCGCGCTAGCCGGAACAACTTGGATCCTCTTCTTCCAATTAAACTTGGCAATCCCCTTGAATTTCTTCGCGCAACTTTTCCCACCTCGCCCGCCCTTTGTACACCTTTGATTTTCCAAATCTCTCTCTCTCTCTCTCTCTCTCGC